ATGTTTCCTTTTGTCTTCAACTCCATGTGGCAAAAATTCAAATCATATGAAAGTATACTTCCTGAAAAGTAATACTCATTCTCGTGACTGTTCTGCTCACTATAGTTTCCCCAGAGACAAAAACTGTTATCATTCTCATATGTATCTTTTCAGAGGCAGTCTCTGTCTATAGAAACATCACGTATGTAATAGAAGGTCAGCACCATCCTCATTAAGCCATGCCACTGGCTCTTTCCTGGAATCTCTTTTATTTTCAATTTACACTCTCTTCATGGCTGATCTCATTTAGTCTCATAAATTTAAACACTCTCAGTATAATGACTCTCCTATCTGAACCTCTAGACATAAACTGTTCCTGGAATTTGGGGCTTATCTATCCCCACCTACTTCACTTCCACTTGAAGTCTCATAGGCATCTCAAACTGAGCCTGTCCCTAACCAAACTCTTTATTTCTCCCTGCCCTAGTCTCTATTTCTTCTGCCATATTACCTAGGCTCAAAAACCGTGTGCCAGTATCTACCGAATTGCTCAAACAAAAATCTAGGGAGTATCCTTAATTCTTACCTTCTCCTTTCCCTTCACTTCTAATCCATTAGTAAGTAACTTCTCTCCTTCCAAAATATACCTCATATTAATTCATCTCTCCAGATTCCTCAGAAGTATCATCCTTGTCTAAGCTGCTATCATACCTCCTATAGACTAGTGCACAGTTTTTATTCTTCTTTTCCTTTTCATTCTTAACTCCCACGAAAACAAAACAAAACAAATCAAAACAAAACAAAACAAAACAAAACAAAACCACCACCACCAAAAAACCCAAACCCAGGAAAAAACCCAAGAGCACACACACATGCCCCTCCAACAAACAAACAAACCACAACAAAAATACAACAATTTTCCCTGGAGCATCCAGAGTTGCATTTTTAAAATACAATGAAATCACATCACCGCTCCCCTTAAGTTCTTCTACAATCTAAAAACTTCCTATCATCCTGATAATAAAACCCTTGCTGGCTTACAAAACCATCTAGATTTTGATACTTTGCTACCTTCTAATTTCATCTGCTACCATTCACCCTTCATGCTCAACCCTTAATCCTCCCAACTCACTGCACCTTTTTCCTTCCTTCTCAGATCAAGCCTGAACCCCTGTAGGACCACTGCACTTGCCAGTCCCTTGGAAACACTCTGCCTCCTCCTTGGTGTAGCTGGTTCCCCATCATTCACATCTAAGTTTAATCGTCACTTCCTCCAAGAAGCTTTACCTAGCCACCCAGTCCAGAGCAACTACTGGCTCTTTTAAATTCAATAGATCACTTATCATTGACTAACACTTTTGTGTAATTATTAATTTTTTTTTTCCAGCTTAATAAGCTAAATTAAGCTCTATGTGAGCTTTGGCGCTGATTAAAATCTGGTTATTGTAACTACCTCAGTGTTTAGACTAGTGTGAAAAGCATTCAGTAACTTTTTAAGTCAATGAATGAGTGAACGAATATTTTAAGAACCAAAATATATTTTCAATTTAAAAATAAACTTTTGCAGAATGATGGCTGATGAAACCAAGGTCTCTTCAAAAAGTCAAGGTTGCTTAGCATGATACCAACAAACTCTTGTTATACTTATCAATTCTTCTATATTTTCCATTACATTGCCCTGCTTACTTTTTTGCCATAACACTCATCCTTACCAAGTCTATTTTCTGCATATCTATTTACTTAAAATCTATCTCGCTACACTACAACTGTAAGCTCTATGAGGGAAGTAATTTGCTCACCACTGAATCTCCAATCTAGGATTTAACTTGAACACAGAGACACGAACATTTTTTTGTTAAATGAGTGAAAATATAAGGTATAATAGAAAGTGGTTGATTCAGCTCCTCTCAATTTGCAGTGAATAAGTAAAAATACTCTTACCTAGAAGCAGTGGGCCATCTATTTTGGGTAAACACGTTCGATCATGGATCTGCAATATGGCCCAAATTCCTTTAGACTTTGGGTAAGCCATTACAAACATTCTATGTTAGTTTTTGCTCCGTGAAAAATGAGAATTAAAGGAAATAAACAAACCAATTAAACTTATCTTCTTAGAGCAAGCCCACCTTGAGAGTTTCAATAATCACTGCCAACTGTTTATTATTCAGGGATAAATGAGAACAAAGGAGAATGTAAGAAGGGTGAAAGAAAAATCTGTGAGGCCCCTTTTGTGCTGCTAAGGATAAGACTTCTCTTGTTTTTATGAATTTGTTAATAAAAGCTCTAAAGTCTGGGGAAATGCTTGCAGGCAGCAAAAGCCAAGTTTTGAAGCTCACAGGTCTAAGGAGAAATTAATAAAATGCAGTGGGAAATTAAGTTAAACAAAGGTGCAATGAGCCATAGTTAACAAATTAATTAGGCAGGTTTTGATTTGTATATAACTGGGTTGCTGAAGAATTAAAAATAAATCCAAGATTTTAAACCAGGGTTTGGTATTCAACAAAACATCAAATGGTAACATGCAGAAAACTCATATTTTTTTAGTAGTATTATTTGATGAATCCCTTCCTCATTCATATGCATCACCACCTTTCTTTTTTCTATTAATCATATAAAAAACTATGCTTTCAATAATATACAATAGTCTTATGTTTTAGTTGAGTCTTTTCTGCATTCTTTTTTATGCCTATAAAAACGTTTATCACTTTCTTGCAATATCAATTATAAAAATATTTATTTTTTAGCAGTATGACTACTATTTTTCAGGCAGTGATGAAGATTAACCTGCACCTGAAGCCTGGCAGGTGCGGGGCAGAACAGGTGAGGTGTCAAAACCCCAGGCAGGGGAGTCACACGGATTAAACTTCAGTTCTAAACTTAACATTTAAGAGCAATGAGACCCTGCACAAATAACTTAGCTTCAGTTTCCTCCACTGCAAAACTATTGCATAGTTAAATATATTTGAAAATTCCTTGGCACAATGACTGGCAAAGAGATCTCTCAATTCAGTGAAAGTATTAACAGAATAAAGCAGTTTCCAATTTGTGGATGTCTTTTTATTGCCAAAAATGCTTGTTTGGAACTTTAAACATATATATCCACCAATGAGATCTATAAAAACCATAATGAAATGGTTAGTAGAATGTAGGTTTATAGATTAATGCCCCAAACCTTCAATTACCAAAACATTACTTCAGGCGAGAATGGTCATAACAGTACTCTGGCTGGGTGGCAACCTCGACCTGGTTTTCCCTCAACTTTCCTGGTTTCAGTATGGCAAGTCCCTTGTCCTGGGAAGCCCTGTGGTCCCAGACAAACCTAATTATGACTTCTTCATCTGGAACCTAATCACCATTCATTCATTCTTCACTCATTCATCTATTTTTCTGCAGCACCAGGTACATTCTTAGGTGCTATAGATAAAAGGGCAAATCACACTTAATAAACCCAGAACAGCAAAGGAGACTGATGAAAGAACAACTGCCCTGTGCTAAATACTAATGAGGAAGGTGTGTCCAGACACCAGGGAAACACAGGGGTTGGCGACCTCACACAAACTCGTGCTTCAGGGAGACTCGGAGGAGGAGCTGATTACTAAACTGGAATGTGAATTAGATACACACCCCAAACCAGAGCCTCTGCTTCATTCTTCAGGGCGTTTTTCATGTCTGAGCTCAGCATTACTTAACCATACATATTAAAATGCCATCTCTTTAGATGCACTTTGCTCATTATCTAAGCAGATTTTGAATAATTTCTAACATGCATGTAATTTTTGTGAAATGTCACCAAACTATGAATATAAATAACGGCACACCCTTGACTTTATAGCAGTTCTTCCACTCTGGAGATACAGCCAGTTAAAATCTACTTTTAAGAATGCTAATTGCCTGCTTGCTTTTTCATTATTTTAAATTCATTGCCCAAAGGAAATTATCGGAACAGCATGATAAATTGAAAACAAAACATAAATTATAATATATAATACTGTTCTATCCAGAGTAACGGAGTGGTTGCCCCAAAGTTAGCAAGTTAAACATGTTTCCTAAAGCTTGTTATCAGGGAACTGGCATTCTAGTCTTTATCCTCAATAACTTCAAAAATATTCCTGAATGTGCCTCTATCATTACAGCAAATGTGCAGCAAGATTGGAAGGCACCGACTGCTTACAACAGAAAGCTCTGAGGCCACAGGCACTGACTAAGGGCCTGAAGATGCGATTCTCCGCCTGCAGGAAGGAGCAGACTTATCACAGACCCTGAAGGTGAGAGGGGGGCTTATTCTCAGGTAGACTGTAAGCTCCACGGGGGCAGGGGCCACATCCAAATTACTCACTGATGCTTTCCCAGTGCTTGAAACATAACTGATACGCAGATGGTTGAGTAAATACCAAAACACGCTTGAAGGTCTGCACTCTGGATTTCTAACAAATCATCATTCAGAATCCTCTAAGCTCTAAGGACTGAAAAATCCTCTTTACCCCTCATGAAAATCATCACCCTCTTTGACAAGCGAGGCCACTTAAGTTTCAAAGTCAGTTAGTTACAACACAAACCAAAGCTGCGCGTTCTATTGTCTAAGGACAGCTAGTGTCCCTCTATTCCTCTCCCTCAGCCTGCAGGTCCCACCTTGGCTAGTAACCTTTGAGATATTTACAGGATTTTCTAAAAATGTTCATGTGATTAAGACTAAATTCTCCTTGTTAGAGTAAAGATATCTAATGCCATGCTTTCTGCAGCATGTGGACCAAAAGCATCAATTTAAACACTCATCAACAGCAATCATTATCTACCTCAAACCCCGTAGAGATTATAAATGTATGTCAATTTTGAGCAACCAGACAAATGAAAAAACGAAAATTCCCACTTGTGAGGCTTTTTTTTTTTTTTGCATTTTGTCATGGCATTTTTGTATACATATACACTTGATAAGCAACACGCCTGGCACATTTGAAATGTAACGGAAGAGTAGGGGCAGCAAGTCTTTTTAAAATTCACTTTCTTGTAGTATTCTCGTTTACCTTTGAAGTTTACTACACCAACTGCAGTTGAAGCCAATCTGAGAGGATACACAGGGGCCACAACCATTGAACTGGAGACATGCTAGGAAACAGGAGAGAACAGAGTCAGCAAGACTGATTGGGAAGATAGAGAAAACAACAGCAAGGATGCCTCAATCAAAATAACATCAAAGCATCCATCCCCCCACACATGCAAGGTGAAGATGCCCGTCTGTGCCAAGCACCATGTTTTTATTATTGGTAAACGGATCAGATCATCAAACTCGCAAAGCATCTTTCCACCTACTTACGCTCAGATGTTAACTTACTAGGTAATGGGGTCATCTCCACAGCTGAAATATTCGTAATTTTTGACATTTGTAACTCTACTCGGTGGTATTCATAAATTGTTCTTCTTCGAACATCTGTAAAAACAAAAATGGGGGGAAAATCAACTTTCCACCTTTCTTTAGCTAAAAAACAAGTGTTTTAATAATGAACATAGAATTATACACTTTCACCTGGAGCAGGTTTAAAAATAAAGATTTAAAACAGCAATCCCTCTGGAGAGACTGATTATTTAAGAAAACCCTGAAAATCATATGACCATGTACCCAGAAGTCCTTTTATCAATGAAGTTGAAAATGATGATTAGGGTCTCAGATATCTCACTTTGATAGCAGGGCTCCAACCCATTGTCACCCGGAGTTTACATAGGACTTCTTGATAGATTTATTTCTTTTGAAAGAGTTTGACATATGAAGTCAAGGAAGTAAGATAACAGCTACCATTTGACTGAAACTAATGCTAAAGTAAGTCCTTGAGGAATAGATAACAATTAAAATATTTTCACAGCCTAACCTAAGTTGGTTTTTGCCAAAATAAGAATCTGATTATTTCAAAGGTTTAGAATAAATTTCTTTAATAAAAGTAAAAATAGAACTTAAGTCATTAAAAAATCAATACTGCTATTTATTAAATATACAGTATCAAATCTAAGGAAGGCTAATAATTAGCACTTAGATTGCATGCAGGAATTTAAAATAATTGATCAGTATATACAGCAGTGTCCCTGAGGAGATTTGACAAGAACTTTAATAATTAAAAATCAGATAAATAGACGCAAATATATTTTATGAAACAAGACTATTGATAAAATATATTTAAAATATAAAAGACCTGAGCCTTATACTAATATGCCTGCCTGAGCTAGGTAAGTTTCAATGGAAAGCTAATGTTATCAGTGCGTTACTTAACTTTTGGAATGCTTGAAATTACAGAAATGCGCTTTCTGAATATTGTCATATCTGTTAGGAATTACTTGGCATGCTACAAGTCATTTTTAAAACATCACGGTATCCAATCTTGTGAATATGTCATAGTAGTTAATAGTACAGGCTCTTAAACAGTGTGTCTGGCTCAAATCCCAGTGTTTATACTTGCTATCTGTATGACACTGGGCTTCTTTGTGAGCCTCTCTGTGCCTCAGTTTCTCCATCTATAAAATAGTACCCACATCATTGGGTTGTTTTGAGAATTAAAGTGAGATAATAAATGGAAATGACTTAAAACAATTCTTTTCACATTGCATGTGCTCAGTAAGTGTCAGATATAATTATAGTCTCTCTTCAATATGGCATCCATAGGTCATACTGGTTATATGCCACATACAATGGTCTAAATTCTGTAAATGTAACCTCAATGATATCACACTTGCCCTAAAATTGGACTTCTAGGAGTTTGTCTTCCATCTTATCTTAGGGAGAGTTCAATTTTGATTAGTCAACAGACCCAACAATGATCACCTTTAGGACACAGAGCAGAAATAATGTGGCGACTCAGAAGATAGCCAGCTGGCTTTTAGTACAAATGTTTAGCAAATGTGGACACGTATACATCCAGGAGGGAAGCCAAACATCTACTTACATGTATCTCTACTTTCTTTCCCTCAGATCCTTCCACCCACTTCTGATTGTTCACCATGAAATTCTACTCCAGGAGAGGAAGGAGAGGGCGGGCCCAAAATGAACTCTTTTGAGGCTAGCAGTGATTCTAGAGCCATTCACGGAATATATCCACAGGTTTATCAGATTGGAAAACACTGTTTAGGAGCCTAATCCAATTAATTTCTTTTTGGTGTGAGTAAAAGATGCATATATATTTTTCAAAGTGTAAAATTTATCGAACATGAGAGAAAATGCCAACTTCATGGTATTTGGTCACGTTTCACAAGGCACATGAAACATGTCTTTTTTTTTTTAACTTTAAGGCATGTAAAAGGATTACTCAGTTTCTGCCTTTGTCTAAATAGGGCTCGGTCCTATATAATGCTTTGCCTTGTATTGTGCTAAAAACAATTTACTTCTCAGCAATGAGTAAACGATATGGCTTTGCCACTGAGATGGAGGTTTTGATTCTTTATACTAAAGTTCACATGGCATCTGTCATATTAGTAGATACAGTACTTAAAATACTAGTTTTCTTTTCATTTCATATTACACTTCAAAGAGCTCAAACTAATAACATAATGACTACGAAGCCTGGAGGAGTTAATTATTGACCATGTATATGGGGTAAAGGGAAAGAGTGACCTATTTTTGCTATGTTAGTTCTATCACCTGCTTAGATACCTCCAACTATGGGGAGGAGATTAATTTAACAAAACCAAAATTAATGAAAATAATTTTTATTTGATGACCTGCCCAAATACCGACAGCTTCCAAATGGTCATTTCTGTTGCATTTCAGAGATACCACTGTCAATGACAAGTAATTAGAAATATATTTACTAGTGGCTCCTGCCAATACTAGAAGCTTTCATTTGATTCCAGAAATGTATTTAACCCATGTGTCTTGTTTAGAAAGTCAGACAAAATAATGTTGTACCAAACGGTCAGTCATACTAGTGGTAATACAGCTTCCACTGTCTTCTTACAACTTTAAAGTACCAAGATCAACTATAATGCCCATTAGGAGGAGCTTTTAAAATTGAAAAAAGAAAATAAATCTCTGAGCAGACTAACAGAGAATAAAGTTCAGTAATCAAAATCTTCGGGTCATATGATTCAAAGTGTAACTGCCGAATTGCATTTTTAGAAATTCTGAACAATATCTGCAAGAGAAACAGAGTGATCACATGGAAACACCAGGAATTCTCTGCAGTCAATATTCACTCTAGCCGAAATAACAGTTTAATGAGTACACTGTGGCGTGATTAGCCATGATCTAGTTTATTAGCCTGTCTTGAAAGCCAGCATTCACAAGGAAAATGTATGAGTAGTTTCTTAAATTAGCGGATTCTTATATTTATATAAATATTTTAATAGCTCATATTGTCCTGTAAATGATTTGCTAACATTTCCTTATTTTTGTGTTGCCAATGCTTAATGATTGGCCCAAATGGTTATTTATTTTCTTTTCTAGTTCCAATTGAGTCTACCACACAGTACCATTTACTGAACACTTTTTAATGTAAATAGCATATACTGCATGATTACAATTTCATCCCCAGCTTACTCAGGACAAAAACTAGGCTCTTGAGAAAAGAAGTGCACTGTTACAGCAGTTAAAAGCTTTTCACACAAAAATGCAATGCATTAACAGAATTCTCTAGTTGTTGTTAAATAAAGCATCTACAAATAGAAGATGCTTTTGCCTCAAACTTCAAAAAAAAAGTATTTCCTCTGTAGTTCTAATCCTATTAGACAGCAGTGTAATTCGGCATTAGATAAGGCGACATAAAATTTAGGTGACTATGAAGTGCTCATCTGAACCTCTTAGCTGTTCCTCTCATCATTCCCTCACTTCATGAGCATGCGTCAAGAAAATCAGAAATTTTAAAAACAATCATCACTTCTGACCTCCTCCCACATATAGTTACTAATAGATTAAACAAGATGCATTTCCTGAACTCCTGCAGTAACCGCCTTGCCCAAGAAGAGTCAGGACAGTAAGCGGTCAGTGCATTGTCATAGTGGGTTGGTGCGATGTGCGGACCACAGGCCCGACTAACGTCACGGCTCCCATTGGCTCAAGGGCTCTTCCTCCCAACACGGAGCTCCCACCAGGGGGACACAACCCTCTGCTCTGAGACTTACGGAGAGATTTGTAACGTACATTTGCAATGCTATTAAGTTTTTTTTCTTCGAGAAATGAAAATTGAAACTTTATTAAATAAAATTAGGTGAAATACAGTAAAATTTCTTTATTTTAAAATCAATTTTTTGAAAAGCTTTTGGTGCTAAATCACTTAGAAGCTTGGCACTTAAATGAGAAGATAACTCTAGGTTTTTAAGAAACTAAATTTCCTATAGCAAAATGCAACTGGAAAAATGAACATGTGGACATGTTTATAAATGCAGGCAACCAGTATTAGTTAAAAATAGAAATATTCTCTGTGTTATAGGGAAGTATAAGTTAAAACAGAAGTAATCATTATGTAATAGGGAAAAAGTAAGAAATAAAGTTGAAGGCCAATAAGAAAGGGAGAAGTGGAACATCTCTGAGGCCATAATTTAAAACAAAAATAGCAAATAACAACTTGCAGAAAAAATCAGTTTAGATTAATTTTGAGAACTGTTTTGGCTGCTTTCCTATACCTTCTTTAGGTTATCACAGAGTATAGTTTTGCAAAGTTGAGCTTTAAGTTCACTATTTTGAATAAAATTAAAAGGACATTAAGCTGAGTTTCTCTTTTTAGACCAATAAATCCTAGCTAATAGATACCCACTAGATATTTATCGAATAAATTAATGTTGAAATTTCTTGAATTTTTAATAATGTATTAAACTCCTTTCTGTGACTTTTAGGATTTTATATTAGAAATAAATACTATTAATTGAGGGAATTATCTATAAACTGGTTAAAATTTACTTTATGTGAGACTGGTATAGAGTAAAAGTCAATGAATGAATGAATAGAAATAACAGGATACAATTTAACCATAAATTCCTGAAGGAATTCTTTTCTGTTCATAGAAATTCTTTAAAAAATCTCAAATATGTTAAAATTGCTCAGCAATTTCCAACATCCAGAAAATTTTCAAACTTTTATCTCTTTTTAAAAATCAAGTCAGGGTCAATCAAATAGGATATATTAGAAATGTATCCATTAAAACAATAAAATATCACTTTGTATAATTCTTTCTATCTTGGAAGAGTTTTATAAGAGAATATTTGATGGGCCAAATGTCATGCTATCTATCTTTTTCCTTTTTATTTAGTTTTGAGTGATCTGTACGCTTGAGGACAAAAGCATCTAATGAAGCTGCACTGTAAAGAAAGGCAATTTGATCTTCTGTAAAATGAATAATTTTCAAGTGCTTTTCATTTGAGAAGAGGGAGGGTAAGGTGACACAATTCACTGAAGGTTTTATAGACTGACCTGTCCTTAAATGAAAGAAAAGGTTATGATAACTCAGAAAATGA